AAATTTTTAGGTCGGTATTCACTGTTTTTTTAGTAGTATGTCTTGTAATAGATAAGTTACAAGGTATATAGGATTATGAGTGTAATCCTTTGTAAGTACTCGAGAGTCTGTATTTACAAATTGCTGGAAGATATTGGAGCTTTGAGAAACTCAGATCGTGATTTTTTCTTCCTTGAGTAAAGAAGTTTCCACGTAAACACATGAGTTCATTATTTCGAGCATTTACTTAAGCCTCATTTGTTTTCATTAAGATTAAGACCTCTGAATCTGAATACACGTTTGAACATTAAGATTTGCATTAAGAGCTAGGTGTCTAGAACTGAATACACATCTGAATATTAAGATGCGGTCTCCAAATCTGAACACTGAATGATTATGTTTGTTTTTCAATATCTGAAATGTGCATATGAAATCAAACATTATATTAATAAAAATGTTATAAAAAAATCATTTCAACAAAAAATATTACTTTTTGATTAAAAAAAAAATATCATAATCATCAAGCATAACATAAAAAAATCACAAATAAAAAGTATTTTATAGGCACAATATAATATCAAAAAGGTAAATAAGTATGATAAATACTAGTTGAAAAATAATAAATAAGGTATCACGTTATCAGCGCCTAACATATATTTTGGCTAATTAGAAAACTAAAGAATTCTTATCTTTTTTCCAATAACCTTAATCCAATTCTCTAACTTATGAACCTCTAACGTCATTCATGCTTTTTTATAGTGGACACTTTCACAAAATATGTTAGTGAAAAACTTACAAGATAACAAAAATACAAGATTACAATTGAAAATAAAAATGAAGAAATAAATCTCTTCAGGCTGAGGCGCGGATATCTCGCTTTCTTTAAGGAGATTCAAGTCCACTGCAGCAAATGTTTTCACCGGTCCAGCAGTAGTCCTTCTTGACTTGTCCCCTCCAGGATACAACAGCCTAATCACAAAATATAACTCAATAACTCTGGACAAGAGTTGAGTCCAAAGCTCCACAAAAAGAACACCTCCCTTCAACTAATAAGAACTCTCTTTTTGACTAACTTTTTCACTCTATATTTTTCTTATATGTTGTGTGTACCAAACCAAATGAAGACCATCACTATTTACACTAGAAGAAGTCTTCCTAGCAATGAAAAGGAAGATAATGGTATAGTAAATAGTAAAGATAATGGTCTTAGGAGTTACATAGGTTACAAGGTGTAATGGAGGAATAATTTGGAGAAGTAATTGTGTGGGCAACAAATGCACCAACGTGCAAATGCAAAACTGCCCAAGGTGTTGACCCAACGTTCAATGGAATGTTTTTGTATCCAAAATATAATGGGCAATAATGCCTATGAGCATTGATAGGTGAGTAATGTCATATATGCCTCACCAACGGATGCAATGTAAGAATGCCCACTAACACTCTTTTAACTCAAAGTAAAGCAAATTAATATATTAAAATAGTAATATTAAAATGCTAAACCAACAAAATATACTAACACATGTAGTATATAATGACTCTTCCCATTCAAGTCCATCTAATTTTTCCATATATTCTTCAAATGTAGGTGCACTATTTTTTTTAATCAATAAATTCGGCGCAGTAATCATCTTCTCATCAATTTTCAATTCAGACGAATAAGTTTTTTCTTCCCCAAAACCTTTTTTTCCAGCTGAAACGGAAGATTGGGATGGATCCAATTTAGACGAATACGTTTTTTTCTTCCGCAAAACATTTTTTTCCAGCTAAAACGGAAGATTGGGATGGAGAATTATTAAGAACTCCATTATTTTTGTCACCAACTAGTTCAACAACAATAATATATTAGTGTTATCTCACAAACAGATTTGATGATCAAAGAGTCTCAATAAATTTATTGGCCTAAGACAAAATTCTAATATAAGAGACGTCAAATGTGTATACATAGTTATTATTTTTAATTATGAATAGTATTTTTTTCACTCAAGAACCTTGATGAACATCAACACACTAAAAATATTATTGCAACAAGTGTTCTTGACAAACATCAATACACCCTAAGAAAATTATTAATATAAGTTGACAACTTTTTTATTGCAATTTGAAGTTCTCTAGTTACTCCTGCACAAGCAACAACAGTTATGGATTTGATTAAGGGGCGCTGGGAAGAATGGATCAGGCCCTCCTCTCAACCCAATCCCTTACTTGACCCTCAAAACTCACTATCGAGCTCAAGAAAACACATAGAGTGAGATTTAGGGCTCAGTTTGTCTTGTGCAGGAGATGGAATTTTCACAAAGCACGTGCATCCGAATAGTCATCGGTTGCACAAAGGGTTTAAGAATAAGAACAAGTGACGGAGAAGTCGTTTACTGATTAGCTGCTTGAACGTGGAAAGGGAGGCCGGGGGGCAGGGAAAAGAGTCGAGTCGATCAGGCTCGACGATCGGGAGAAGCAAAACGAAATCAGGATTTGGCCGAAAAAGAAGCAAGGGGACTATCCCCATTCGCCTATCGCTTTCTTGAGTTGATGTTTAACTTGCACCTAGGGGATTCAATCTTCCGAAGCTATTGCATTGTTTGCCCCAATGATGGCCTTTTTGATCTCATTCGTATCCAATCCCCTTTTTCCTGATCTTATTGGCCTTACAGCGGGCCTAAGAGCAAGGAAGTCTCAACTCTCCAATCCCCCAGGGTGAGGGGGTCGAAGAGCTAACACCCCCTCCAACGCCCTCACTTGATCCTGAGCCAGAGGCTAAAATGAATTCTCTCTTTTCTTTTGTTCGAAAATACTTGTAAAGATTATAAATACTTCTCAGTTCAAGAGGAAAAAATTGGTGTTTGATTGAGAAAAGAGAGGAAGAAAGTTTGTAGTTGTGAGAGCAAAAGTCACGCAAAGACCGAGAGAGACGATACAATATTATTTGGTGTTAAGACTCTCCTGCCGATATGATCCGTTCAGACCTTTTCAGAGAGACTTTTTGAAAAAAAGAAACAAATGGACTTAATGGGCTGAATCTGAATCATTCAGATTCATACCTAAAAATCAAATGCACTTAATGGATTGAATCTGAATTATTAAGATTCAGACCTCCATTAAGTGCAAACAAATGAGGCCTTAACCTTCTATTACTAGTTTCTATCAAAGAACCCGATCTCTTGACTCGTGATGGACTCATACCTCTAACAGTCTATATATAATAAATACATTGATGGAAAGTCTATAATTTAAGACTAAAGGAGTGTTGACAAATCAGTGTATTAATTAATCATGTTTAATTAATTTCATGAATAGTAAGACTCATTGGATATTTTATGTGCAAGAGAAATATCACCATCTTTTATGGGAAAAAAATTTTAGACAAAGAATTTATAAATTCAGACACCTATATATTATGTTTATCTATACATAGGTATATTAAAACTTGTAAAAAAAATAATAACGATTAACATATTTTTAAATTTATATTTTTTGCAACTTATTAATTTGTATTGATTTGTATTGCGATATGCGCGGACAAATTAACTAGTAACTAAACTTGAGCATTTCTCATTTCTCTTTTGTATTCTTCTTTTGGCTTACAACATGCTCTCCCTCAATTAGTGCTACATCAACCAATAGACTTTTTCACATAAAAATTCCATAACCCCTCATTTCTTTCGTTTTTTGTGTTTTCTCCCTCTTTTTGTTCTTCCGATCTTAGGAAGGCAAATATTATCATGGGAAGGAAGACTCCGTCGGGAAATTCTTCGTCGGAGTCAGACCTCGAGATAAAAGTACAACCTCGTAATAGTGGCCCCGAGGAACATGACCAACGTCTACATTCTCGTCCTCCTCAGATCCCACCGCCAAATTATCAACCTTATAAAAAATGGCCCCCATGGCTAGTCCCTATAATTATTATAGTCAATATTGTACTTTTTATTTTTGTTATGTACGTTAACGATTGTCCTCATAATAGTAACAATTGTTTTGGTATCGACTTCTTTGGTCGTTATGCATTTCAAGATGTTCATGAGAACCCTTTACTTGGTCCCTCCACAACAACGTAAGTACTTATTCGATATTTTATATCCTGATTACAATTTATTTCGAGATTAGTTATCATTTTTTTTTTTGAAAATTCTTATAGGTTACAAAAATTGGGTGCTCTTGATGTGAATAAAGTAGTTGAAGGAAAACAAATATGGAGGCTATTTTCTTGCATGTGGTTACATGCTGGTGTATTTCATGTTGCTGCCAATATGTTGAGCTTATTATTTGTGGGCATTCGACTTGAGCAAGAGTTTGGATTTTGTAAGTAAATGATTGTCCTAGTTTTATGTGGTGAGTTGAATAAGTCATAATTACTATAGTCTCAATTTACGTGAAGGTGTTATTATTACCTAGGCAGTTAAAACAATTTTTTATTCGTCGACTATAATTTTCTCAATCTTCTTTAAAATTGTTTACAAGTTTATATTGACTTGTAGTAGCTTTCAAAAATATTTAACACTTTACTTTAAAATATTTTAAGAGCCCATAGTCTATATATGAATTTAAATATTTTGACCCTCATATTCCGAACACCTTCAAATTGAACAAAGAGAGTAATAATGTAAAAGAACTTGGTTATAACAAGTTATATTACTTTATTTTAAATTACTAAATCATGTTTGATGTAAATAGTTACCTAATAGTGTAACAAATATTTACATAGTATGTACATTTATTGGTTTAAGTTAGTGGTTTAAAATAGAAGAGGGTTCGAGATTTTTTTCATTTCGGTCGGGTTTAGAGGGATAAAAGAAAAATATTGTTATGTTAATGAAAAGGATAACTATGCACTATTTGTTAGATGACAAGTATATGTATGCACAAGCGTTTTGACGAGAAATATATCTACTCTATATTTGCCTCTTTTTTCAATATTATTTGATGTCCGTGCATGTAACTTAAATTTATAATATTAAAATAATTGTAGTGTCTTGCTTGTGAAACATTGTTTCTAACTAATAAATATGTTTTTGTAGTGAGAATTGGTCCACTTTATGTTTTGGCTGGGGTTGGAGGGAGTCTATTATCAGCTCTATTTGTGAGGAAAAAAATCTCAGTTGGTGCTTCTGGTGCATTGTTTGGTTTACTTGGAGCTATGCTTTCTGAACTCATCACAAATTGGACATTATATGAAAACAAGGTATGGTTTAAACTCTTTTGTATACCAATGGTGATTTAATTTATATAGACCGATAGTGTAAAGAATTTTTTACACTATCTTAACCTCTTAATATATGGAACATCTTGATTTTTACATTTTGGTGTACTTTGAGATTGTTTATACCCTTGTCACTTACAAAAGGTCACATGTTCGCCCTTGGCCCTACTGGAGCTTCAATAAATTCAATGTAATTTTAAACCAATGTCAAAAGTAATTAAAGGGGTATATTTGGACATTTTTCGCAAAAGATTTCAATATGTGAAATTCACCCAATCCACGTTAGGACTTGATTAAAGTCAAGAGCAAACATGAGACAATTTGCAGAGGATAGGGTATAATTGTCAAAATATATAACATATATACAATCACTACTAGAAACAACAGTCTTTCCCACTGTGAATCAATAGGAAATTTTTGCTATATATAAAACATGAATTTTCTACTCCATTCTCACCAAATCGGGTCACTATAGAAAAATACATGGTAGGAAACAGATTCTCATTGAACGACTGAGAATAACCTCTAAACATTTTTTTTTGCTTTTCTCACTGACTAAATCAAAATATGTATGAGAATAACCACTGAACATTTTATAGTAAAAATTTCAATGAAAAAATAGTGATTTTTTAGTAGTGAATCATGGACTAAGCTAATTTTATTTTTTTTTTGTTTATCAAAACAGTTGGCAACACTACTTACATTGCTTCTCATAATTGCATTAAATCTAGCTGTTGGAATTCTTCCTCATGTGGACAATTTTGCACATCTTGGTGGATTTGTAACTGGATTTCTTCTTGGTTGTGTCCTTTTGCTTCGTCCACAATTTGGTTGGGTTAATCTAAACAAAGCACCTCCTGGCTATTTTGTGGCATCAAAAAAGTCCAAGTACAAGATTTATCAATACATACTATTGATGTTCTCATTAGCATTTCTCTTAACTGGGTAAGTACTATTATTTTTGTTAACTTATCTACATCCACATTATAAAATTATTTTATACTGTTAAGTCATTTTTTGGGAGGGTTTCCTGTTCGGTGTCTGATACCTGTGTTGGGGCTTCGATTTGAGGGAGAAGGGCTCCCTAACAGCAGAGGCGTATCTAGAGGGGTTTTGTGGGTTCACGTGAACCCATGGTTCCCTCTCTAGATTATATATGTGTTATATTTTTTAAAAAAATATTTAAATATAGAGGTGTGAACCCACTTTAAAAGTAGCATATAATAATACAATAAAGATTGGGTGCACCACTCCAAGCAAAGATAGAAATTTAAATCTTATTTTTGTTAGTAACATCCCTCCAAGTGGTTATCGATAATACTTTTGGCCTTTTTTTTGCTTTAATCTTTCAAAATTTCAAGTGTGTAACATTGAAAATTCCTAAAAAAAAATTAAAATAGCACGGTAAATTTTTATATAATTAAATCAAATGTGTATATTAAAATTTAAAACTAGTAGTATCATATGTTGGACCTATATGATTTTTAAAATTTAAGGGTTCAATGTTAAGAACGTAAAGGTCAAACTGATCAAATTGATATCTTAAATGCATCTTTTCATAATAGTGCACTCATCCTTCTTAAATTCTGGATATGCCTCTTAGGATCTTTAGTTAAGGATGGAAGAATTTTTATTCATCTCACCACAACCCTTGGTTGTGTCAAGTTACTTTTATTGTAGCAGATAACCTGTCTTAATTTCAAGATTATAAATTTTACTTCTATAAAATGAAGAATTATCGACAGTTATTTTTTGAGTGACATGATAGTTAGTTTGTTTTGTAGGTTTATCCTTGGGTTAGCTCTATTGACAAATGGATGGGATGGTAATGCACATTGCTCATGGTGTCATTACTTAAGTTGTGTCCCAACCCCTCTATGGAGTTGTACTGAAGCACGTTGTGCGGTAAAATCTTTCTTCCACTTTGTTATTTTTATTAAAATTAAAATGTCTGAATATGAATATACATATTAAGGTGTTGTACTTAAATTTGAACGCTAAATAATTAAAATTATTTATTTTCTTAACATTTATATCTTTGAAATTTATTTTTTATTAACAAATTAGTAAATATAAAGTTCAAATAAAATAATTTTATCCACAAGTTATTAGGTTGTAAGGTGATGGTTGGCGGGTGGTAGGCAAAAGTAGTGGTGGCGGTTGTAAGTGATGACTGACAAAGGTAGTGAGGGTGGTTGTTGCACGATGATGGTAGTTGTGATGTTCGGTGATAGTAGTTAGTGATGACTGTGATGGTAGAGGTGATTGATTGTAGTGGTTGATAGTGATAATTGACGGAGATGGTAGTAACAATAGTAGTTGACAATAGTGATTATTATGATGATAAAGGTGATTGGTGTAGTAATAACTAGTAATTGGTGGGACATTGACTGTTGATATTGATGATAGTGATGATTGTTGATAATGGTCGATGGTAGTGAATGATTGTGATGGCTGACAATATTAGTTGTGAGTGATAGTTGTTAGTGGCTAAGAATAGAGGGTCGAGAATGTCATCATCGTATAAATATTTGAATAGCCTCTTACTAATATTAGAACTTTGTTCAAGATTTGAATAATTCAAATTTATTCGGATTAGTTAAGTAGTTAAATCATAATAAAAATAATCATCACATTATGAGTTATCTAATTTTCTGCTTTTAACTAGACTTTCTATACTTCGTGCGATATTATATGCATTTTTTTTTATTTCTATGATCTTTTTATGCAACTTAATTTCTTGTTACAGACCATCCAACTTGGGAATCAATTGAACATGACTTGCACATCAAATCATAAAAATGGGACTTATATGTTGACAAATCCCAATAATACATTTGAAATTCAAATGTTATGCTCCAAACTCTGCAAATGATGAGATAATTCATAGTTGGGAAATTATTGTTTGTGGTGAAAAGTATCAAGCAATATATTTTAATTGGAGAAGATCAAGAGGATTATGTCAACCAACTTTTATTTGAACAAGTTTATTAATATATAGTTATTATTATCAATGAAATATATATATGCATATTTGTACCAATGTTGATTTTATCAATGTACACCACCATATGTAAACCCTTTAGTTGTCAAAATATTTAGTACTTTTTTTTTATCACTTGTATTTATAAAATGAAACTTCTCTTCTTCTTATTCTTATTTTTTTTAAAAGAAAAAAAAATGTAATTAGTATGTCTTTATTCATTACTGATATTTCTGTCCAATTTATTAAATTATTTGATTTAGTGACTTTCACTTTCTAAGGCAAACTCTATTCCTTAGCAAGTGGTCATGAGATAGTATCAAAGAATGATACTACAAAGAAAGATTAAAGCACTGCAATAACAAAGACTTTTAGCGGCAATAAATATACATCTTAATGTCAATTCAAAAAAGTGTTGAAAAAAATATCAACTATTATCGCTAAATAGCCTCAATTTTAGTGACATTTATTTAGTGGCAATAAAAATAGCCACTAAAACCACCAATAATTTACATCTTGAATTGCTATTAATGACACGCCTTATTACCGGTTAAATTATTCACAAAATGACAAATGCTAATATTAAGAAATATCGTGCTTCATTAAAATCACATTAAACAAAAAAAACTCCACTATAAATTCATTATTTTAATGTCAACAACATAAAAAAAATACATCATTTGATTCCAATAGCTATTTTGTTTCGAGTCTAAGCGTCAATTTCATCAAATATCAATAGTATTATATAATCCTTGACAGTCAAATTATCACAGCAACACTTCAACTATTGAATTAAAGCAGAAAATTACTTAAATAACAAGTAACTAAGGATAGAGATAAAATTTGGGATGATAAACTTAGACTCTACCAGAAGAAGAGAAGAGATGAACCGAACATTTTTCTTCAATATGCATAACTCCTTCTTTCCAACTCTTTTTTCCTTTGAACCAAATGTTAATCGGACCTGGATCCTAGATAAAACACTCCAACATTTTACTTAGCCCAATCTCATTCACCACTACTAACTCAAGGCCTTTATAGAGGTAGCTTGGTTCACAACAGAGTTGTTTATAAACAAGAATGCATACTCTAATCTAGTATAAACCTGATTGTGATACAATGAATGCCTCCACTAAGCTAATGGTCATTGGACTAGGTCCCTTGATAGAATAATAGTGTGGAAAATAAATAACTCAAAGTAAATCAAACACAAGGAATTTACGTGGAAACTCCCTTGCTCAAGAGATGAGAAAACCACGACCTATCTCACATGATTTCAACCCAAACTCCATTCACTCATAAAGGAGCAAAGCTTCAGATTACAAACTTTGCAACCTAGGAATTAAACTCTTAATCCCTTCCCCCTTACTGTAGCAACTCTACTAAAAATTAAGCAATAACTTTATTGCCCACTAAACCAACTAACTCTAGTTGATCTAGACTTTAAGAACCCAACAAGGCTAACTCTAGCCACCAACTCAGATATCAAAGATAGGAGAAGAAAAATAAGCAGCAACTCTATTGCACTAAGCAACGATTTAGCTGCCCACTACACCAGCTAACTTTAGCTAATATAGACTTCACCAACCCAACATAGCTAGCTCTAGCTAGGAATGAAAGATCAACAAGAACTTGAAACGATCTAATTTCGTTATAGATTAGAAATAGATCTTACAAGATGAAGCACACTCTAACAATAACAATGAACAATGATAACTATATCAGGTCTCTTGCTGTGTATGAGTAATGTTCTTCCTTAAAGATGACTTTCTTTTTGAGCTTATGGATTTTCAGAATTCAAAAAATTTATTTGTCAAAACTTGGATTGTGTCATTGGAGAAGAAGACTAATATAACATGGACACAAACCCTTGGAGCAAAGTCATTGGCTGAGAGCCTACTGCTCTAAAAAGACGTGCACAAATCACAACAGATTTGAAAGTTTTTAGACATCTGTCTTTTGTCTTTTTCATGTAGGGAAACTCTCAATCTTTCCTCAACCAGGTCCCTTGTTAGAACCCAAAGTTTGATAAATCATCAAAACTTCATATCAACTTCAAAATAACATTTCCCCCTTTTTGATTATGACAAACTTATTCAACTTTCCCTCTTTCACCAGTTACCTCTATCATCATAACCAGGTAACTTAAGGATTGGTCCCTTTGTTTCATCATTTCCAAAGTTTTTTTATTCATAAAAACTTAAAATCAACTCCAAAATAACATTTTCCCCTTTTTTTATGATGATAAACTTATTAAACTTGTTCCCCGTTTCACCGTTTCACCGGTTCCCCTATCAGCATAATCAGGTCATTTTCAAGTAACTACATTGATTTCTCTCTTCAAGTAACTAACTTTGTTCTCATACCTTAACATTTCCCCCCTTTGGACATCATAAAAAAGAGTTAAAGCAGTAAACCAGGTTGATAGAAATGCAGTTCAAGCAAATTCATAGCCACTTGGGCAACACTGAGCATAAGTAAAAATACATAAAGTAATGAGACAAATCAGTAGAAACAAGGTATTTTTCATTCATAAACAAAAGAACAATCAAAACATTGCAAATATTATTACGAATAAAAATCAGAATAATACCCACTAAGTTTCAACAGAAGGGGAGGAACGGGAACTGACACAAAAATTTAGGAAGAAAGGGGGCTTATGAGCAAGGGATTGAAGGATTAAGGTTAGGAGAGCATCTGTCTCAACATGATTTTGTAGAAGACTCTCTTGAAGTTCAGCATTCTTTGCTGCCAGGGCTTCATATTGAACCTTCAAGGCTGCCAATTCTTTTCAACCTGGTCCCTCTAGTTTTGCTTTCGGAAGCCGAGCCTTCAGGAAAGCGATCTAAATATCCTTGTTAGCAAGAACAACTGTCATTGCTTCCAACTCATGCTTGAGTTGATCATGTTCCATGAACGTCTTAGACATATTACTCTTGTTCTTAGTCGTCCATTCCACACATTCACATTCCAAGTCAGAAGGTACCTTTATCTCATGTCATTTTGACAATCCATAACAGATATGATCTTATGCATGTGTTATAGAATTATGAAAGAAAGATTGATTAAATCAAACTTACTCAAGACCTCCAAGATGAACATATCAACAGCCGGGGAACCAATTCATTTTTTATGTAGGCAATAACACCTTAATGAAAAACTCAAAGAACCGTGAATTTTATTCCCCATTTAAGATACTTCTTAGGATTACATGGACCGCTGAGATTTGAGATTTTACTGATTTCCTGAATAAACTATTGTGAAGCAGTCCTCTAACAACCAACTTGATCCATTTTTTAGAACGCAACTGAACTGATGGATCCACTAAAAGGCCTTATTGAGGCAGTGAGGATTCGTCCAAATATCGGTATGATCCTATCCTACACTGCCTACATATTTTATGATATTTGAGTTATTTAAACTCTTACCCCATATTTGGTGCTCAATACTACTCAAATATAATATACTTATTTGATATGCTCGTGGTTGGTAAACTATTCTGAATAAAGGGTGAGACCAAACTCAAATCTATGATTCAAAGCTCAAATATTTCTAAAATATATCTTTCAAAGTCATCTATATAACTTAAATCATGAGAAAGTCTTCTAACTTGCATACTCATATACATTCAAACTAGTTTTTGTAATAGCATAAAGACTTTAAAATCATGCTTTGAAATATAACTTTCTTGAAATCATAGCAATATCATGTCTAGGGGTGGGCATGGTATGGTACAATATGATATTTGAAAATTTTGATAAACCGTAATTTTGGTATTCGGTCTTTAAAACATTGTGCCACTACCATACCAATTTAATTCGGTATGGTTTGGTATTATGACTCCGACAATTAAAAAAGGTCTCAATTGTATCATACTAACATATTACACATGTAGAAATATATATTCAAAATAAAGTACAAACAACTCCTTTTGTTAATCAATTAAATTTCAAATATATTTCAATCAAAATAGAGTAGTCAAAGTTTCAACTCTAAATATTTAGTTTATACTAATAGTAGGTTGCATATTTGTTAGTATTTTAATAATAATAATAATAATAATATATATATATATATATGCTATTTGTGTAACTATATACTTCAGTATGGTATTCAGTATTTCAGTATGTTGATACTATGTAACCCCCCAGAAACTAGTAGACCAAACTAGAGCCTCTAGCTAGGGTTCTAAGGTTTTATGTATGTGGATTAGAGTCGTAGATGAGACTTTCCGTGTATAGAATGAGGGGTTTAGTGGTTGAGCATCAAGGCACATCTTACACCCCGTGATCTTATAGACTAACCTAGGACTTAGTATGTGGGGTTGTCAAGACTAGGAAGCGGGAAAGGGCCTAAGCTATCAAGGAAGAATGAAGGAGAACTTGTTCTTCTTTGGGCCTTGTTGGCGATTGGGCAGCATGATCGCCCAAGTGACTTGGTGATGCAACAAAGTTCACTTGGGGTCGCCTAGTTGGTTGTCCCCTTGGCCTAGGTTCTAGAAATTTGTGCGAGCTAAGTCGGGGCTCGCCGGTTGGATTGGCGATTCACCCAATAGACCCCTCAATTGCCTAGTGAGCTTCCCTTTTAGGGAGCTTACTAGAAATTTAAGCTAGCCAAGGGCCCATTAGTTGTGTCGCCTAGTGCCCTTGGCAAGCCAAGGGGTGCAAAGGGCGAGGTAAGTCATGAAGACTATTAAGTTTTGGGTTGAAACTTTAAGGGTCCTTAGTTCTTTTTCGAAGTTGACCCTACATTATTTTATTCCCTTCCTAGAAAGTATATAAGCTTATTAGACCTAAGTTTCCCTCAATTAAGTCATTCTCCCTAGAATCCAAAGAAAATCCAACTTCATCCCCTCCAAAGAATATTTCTCTCTCTAGAAAACCTCCATTGAAGAAGAAGATAGAGCTTGAAGCTTGGGTCAAGAACAAAGTCCATTGTTGAGAGTTTGTGCTAGGGATTTGATTAAAGGTATGTTTAGCTTTTCATTTATGGGT